GAGAGAGAGAGAGAGAGAGAGAGAGAGAGAGAGAGAGAGAGAGAGAGAGAGAGAGAGGTGGGGGGAGAGGCCAGCGTCTTTGAGAATTTAAGGGGGAGAAGAGTGAGTGCGTAGAGGAGGAAGTGGAGGAGGAAGAGGAGGAAGAGACGGAGGAGGTGCAAGTGCTCAAAGAGATGAAAACAGTCGAACTGTGAACACAAGCGATTAACGAAACCTGAACCTGAACAAACATTTATATATTTTGAGAAATTGGTAAACGAAGCTGGATGTTTGAAACTGTGTAGTCATCGTCGAGCGTGATTCCAATCAGCAAACCACACTGATCTCTGGTATTCGATCCGCGTAATCAACGGTCAGAAATGAGTGATTGATCCGATTGATAGGTGTGACGTGCCTCGGTTAGATGTCTCGGAATTCATCTTTCTCTATTGAGATCGTCAATAATTGCTTCTCTTTACGGTCACCTGTTACAGACCCCTTTTCCTATTTATTGTCTTAAATCGCTGATGCCATTCGATCTTAAACTACATGAATCTTCGGTGAGTTTCTAGTGAATCAATGGCCGTACTCTTGAAAGTAATCCAATTCCACTATGTACGGGCCATCGCACCTCCTCCTCTTCCCGTTCTTCCCGTTCTTCCCCCTCTTCCCCCTCTTCCTCCTCTTCCTCCTCTTCCTCCTCTTCCTCCTCTACTTCTCCTCTTCCTCCTCTTCCTCCTCTTCCTCCTCTACTTCTCCTCTTCCTCCTCTTCCTCCTCTTCCTCCTCTTCCTCCACATGTGGTCGAGAGAGTTCCCTACTCGTCTGGACGTCTGTCTTCCCCCTCTTCCTCCTCTTCCTCCTCTTCCTCCTTTTCCTCCTCTTCCTCCTCTTCCTCCTCTACTTCTGCTCTTCCTCTTCCTCCTCTTTCTCCTCTTCCTCCTCTACTTCTCCTCTTCCTCCTGTTCCTCCTCTACTTCTCCTCTTCCTCCGCTTCCTCCACATGTGGTCGAGAGAGTTCCCTACTTGTCTGGACGTCTGGTCTCCTCCGCTGTCATCCGCCATCTCTCAGGATCTGCATACTACTCTCTCTTTCGCTTTGTGGGTCTCTCCTTGTCTGCTTCTCTTTTCATCGCCTTTTTTTTTAATTGAAAACTGAATTTACGTTTTTTTTTTGACTTGCGGGGAATCAGCACGGCAGGTTTTGGGTGAATTGGCGATTCGAGAAGAAAGTCTATATGCCGCCTAGTATATGATGGGAGGCGTCCAGAGTTGTACACATGAACCCCCTCCCCCTCCCCCCAACCCCACGCCTCGCTCCCAACCGTTCTTTCCCATTTGCTAGCAGGGGGGGGTCTCGATCGTACCATCTCCCTTGTCTCAGTAATGTTCACACGGTTTGTTATTGAGCTGGATTATTTTTTGAGCTTGATTTAATGCAAAAAGCCTAGTCTTTGTTTGCACTGGATTATTCTTCGAGCTGGTTTCAAGCTCGAAGTTGCCCGTACAAGGACGTTAATAGGGGTAGATCCACACCTTTTGATTTTTTATTCAGATTGAATAGGGCTACTCACAACACACACACACACAGACACAGACACAAAAAAAAAAAAAAAAAAAAAAAAAAAAAAAAAAAACAGGAACCACCCCAGCTATCAGGCCCTACCGTCTTCATCCGAATATAACGCCCGGTCATTATAGCTGTATTTGGTTCTTCTTCTTCTTCTTCTTCTTCTTCTCCTTCTTTTAAATCTTCTTCTCCTTGTTCTTCTTCGCACGAATGGGTCGCAACACTCAGAATGTGCTTAAAGCTGTTGTAGTGGAAACTGAAAAAGCGGCCAAGTACAGAGAAGATAGCGGTTGTGTACAATTTGACTAGGCTGTTTTCCCGGGCGCCCGGGCACCCAACTTGTTTCCGGATACACGCCCGGGTGCCCGGCCAGGCATGATCCCTGGGCAGGCTCCCGGGCAGACCCAGCGCAAAAAAAAAAAAAAAAAAATCCAAAAAATCTGGAAAAAAATATGTCGTGTAGAATTGCAATACAAACAACTTTTGGCTGAGGGTCACATCAGAATTCCTCACCGAATCGGAGATAAAAAAGAAAATAACAAAATCACACTCTACGGCACCCCCCTTTAAACCCCCTTAGCCCTTAAAAATAATTTATCCCCCCCTTCCCCCCCCCCCCCCCCTTGACAACGAACTCTCAAAAATGAAAAGAGCCCGGATTTGGGGTCCTCTGGGAGAGCGCAGGATTTTTTTTTTTTTCCGGGCATGAAAGTCTTACTAGCAAGTTGATAGAAATGCTGTTGTTTGAATCAATAATGGTTTTGCCGATTGGTACGGGAATTTTTTTTAGGCTGTGTGAGACATGAACTACGAAAAAAACGCTGTTTGAAAAAAAAAATAAAAATAAAATATAGTCTCAATCGGACCTTTTGTAATTTAAATGCATTTTTTCAGTCCAGATGCATCGGTAATGACCAGGCGGGCGTTTTATATTGGTGAGGACGGTAGTGGCACATCGTGCGGGCCCAATGGCAGTGATGCTGATGCTACTACCCTAACCAGAGAACAGTGCGTCGTCTTCTCTTGGGGGGCTGTTGTGCGGCAAGGGCGATCGGGCCTGACACATACTCTGAGAGAAAACAATCCGGGCAATGTTGAAGACGACATTATCCGCACCGCACAGGACTGGCCAAGTGTCTCCGTCATTTGATGGCCAGCGCGGAAATTAAGTCAACAGCAATTGCGGTTATGATGGAGAATCGAACCCACATCCCGTGCTTGGAAGCAGCCGATCGATCTGGGCAGTAACTACACTATGTTCTTCAAAAAAAAAAAAAAAACTACACTATGTTCTTCTCTCAAATTCTTTTTGCCTTTCACTACCGACCTACCACTATTCCTAAGACTATATACTATATAGAGGGGGCCCCTGCAAGCATAGGGCCTCGCAAACCGCTGATCGGTATTAGCGGGGTCTATGACGAACACAGGTGTGAGTGCGAGCGCGAGCGGGTTTTGTGTGGTGTGTGGGAGAGTGTTGGCCACCATAACCTCTGCTGCTACTCGACTCGATGCGGGGTGGGGGGCAATGAGAAAGGGAGGCGCAGCTACTGGCAAAAAAAATGTTCGGTCTTTGCGTTAGCTGGACCCCCCCCACCGGCGGTCCCAGCCCCCACCCCCCACCCCCCACCCCATATCTGACTACAGCTGCTGGGGCGAGGGGCCACATGATCTGGGCAGTATATTGCATTTGCCCAAAATTTTTTACTTCTTTGTTGTTAATCCCTCGTTTTGTGCGGTAATCGAATCAAAAGCAATTGACCATGTAAAGGGGATCGAACCCTTATCCCCTGCTTGGAAAGGGCAGACAAATTCGGGCAGTATGCTGCATTTGCCCAAAAAAAAAAAAAAACTTCTTTGTTGTTAATCCCTCGTTTTGTGCGGTAATCGAATCAAAAGCAATTGCGGATATAGCGGGAATCGAACCCTTAACCCCTGCTTGGAAGGTAGGCAAATTTTTTGGGCAGTTTGCCGCATTGCCCAAATGTGTTTCTCTTCTTTGTTGTTAATCCCTCATTTTGTGCGCCAATCGAATCAGAAGCAATTGTGGATGTAAAGGGAAGTGTCGGGAAGCAGACCAATTTGGGTACTGTACTGCATTTGGCCAAAATATTCAAATTATTGAATGGTAATTCCTTACTTTGTGCGAGGACTTGGGGCAATACTGCTTTTGTCCACACCGGCTCGAAGGGAGGCGGGTTGTTGGGGGAATCGTAATCTTGTCATGGCCAGATAACGACAAAAATGCCGCCAATGTTCAATGTCTGGACAGATCTGGCCAATCTTGTCGCTGTCGATGTGGAGTGCAAACAGTGACCCCATTTTTAAAAGATTCCGGAACGGGGTAGGCCCTATCATTATTGTATCCCCTGACTCCATCAGGATTGGAATTTGTGCTCTGTTCACCAACAGGTATGTGTGTACCATTCAGCCACATGAGCTGGGTACGGAAACCCGTGTTCGTGAGATAGAGCAGGCAAGACGAGGGCAATCAATCAGTCAATCAATCAATCAATCAATCAGTCAATCAATCAATCAGTCAATCAATCAGTCGATCAATCACTTCAACCAACCAATCAATCAACCAACCGACCAACCAATCAGTCAATCAATCAATCAACCCAACCAACCAACCAATCAATGAATGAAATTAATGAATGCAATCAATGAACGAGATCAATGAAATCAATCAATCAATCAATCAACAACCAATCAATCAATCAGTTAGTAAATCGGCAACCATGTCGTCAGCCAGGGGTATCCGCAAATTTTTATAAAAGCAGAAGCTTACACACTGATTAGTGCGTTGAAGATAGCTTACACCTAAGTCCTGAGATGGAGAGAACAGGATTAGCGCAGCTTAAGAAACCTCAATGATTGATCATATTATACCAGTTCAGAGTTCCAGTCACTTAGCGCCCATCAGCGCTACAGCCAGCAGTTTCAATCAGGTATGTACCTGTGTTCATCTCTCATCTCTCTCTCTCTCTCTCTCTCTCTCTCTCTCTCTCTCTCTCTCTCTCTTTCTTTCTCTCTTTGTCCCTCAGCGCTTGTATCACACAGCTTTACCGTCTCTCTCTCTCTCACACTCTCTCCCCCTCACTCTCGCTCTACCTTCACTACTACGAGTATCCCTGGATACATCTCGCTCTAGCTGCTGTTGCTTGCTGCTGCTGCGGCGTCGTCGAGAAAGGAGAAGATAACCGGAGAACTACTTTGGTCTTCTATCAGCTAGTGAGCTGAGGAGGAGGAGGGGTAGGATTATGACCTTGCTGATAGCAGGAAGAAGCAGGATGGGAAAGGCGTAGGGGGTAATGGTGGTTTCATTTTTCTTTCTCTTTATTAATTATTAATTTCGATTTGGGTTTCTATTTCGTTTCACCATACTCCTTCCTGCCTGTCTTTCTCTTCAATGTCTGCCTGTCTTTCTCTTCAATGTCTTCCTCTTCCCCCAGGAGTTTCTTCTGTTGTCCTCCTCCTCTTCATCCTCCTCCTCCACGTCAACCTCTGCATATGTCCGTTTCCATGTGGAAGCCGTGGAGGCCAATATCCTCCTACATCCAGGTGAGTACGGCAAAGGAAGGGGTATGGAGAAGCGGTGATGATTGGAAGACAAGATGGGAGGATGAAGAGGAGAGAAAAGAGTGAGAGGAGGGAAAGGAGGGAGAGGAGGGAAAGGAGGGAGAGGAGAGAGGAAATGATGACAATGACGTCAAGAGGGGGGTAGAAAGATGAGCATGCTGACATGGAGGAGTTGAAAGGGAAAGTGGGGAGGAGAAGGCTATGATGATTTCGTTTATCTTTCTCTTTATCGATGCCCATTTCACTTTCTGTTTTGTGTGGCCATGGTCCCTCCTCATCTTTCTCCTCCTCCTTGTATACTTCATCTCCTCGACATCATCCATCTCCTCCACTTCATCCTTCTGCCCCGTATGCGAATATCCTTCAGCCTCAGGAGAGTCCAGAATCCTGGCAAGGGTTTTCATGTTTTCGTCATCTTCCTCCACGTTCTCCTCCTGCTGCAGATCCTACTTCCTGGCGGCACACACACACACACACACAC